TGCTTTTTCTATATCTGGGTCACAAATACCTTGTTTACCTGTTTAGTGAGGTCTAAAATCAGAGGATCCTATGCATGGGGTAGAAAGGTGGTTGTGGGTACATGGTCTTCATTTTCCTATGATGATATAAACAGTTCTTCAATGTGTAAAATTGTACAATCACTAACCAGGCTGCTTAGCAAATAGCAGAAATATCACCTATCAGCTAAGCACTGGTGACTCACACCTATAGTCTTAACTACTCAGGAGACTGAGATCTGAGCATCACAGTTCAAAGCCAGCCTGAGAAAGAAAGTCCCTGAGACTGTTATCTCCAATTAATCACCAAAAAGCCAGAAATGGAGTTGTGGCTCAAGTGGTGGAGCACCAGACCTGAACAAAAAAGGCATGGGACAGTGCCCAGGTTTTGAGTTCAAGCCTCAATACTGGTACATAAAGACAAAAAGAAAAATAATGTGGCTTAATGGTAGAGTGCTTGCCTAGCATGCATTAAGCCCTGGGTTTGATTCCTCAGTACCACATAAACAGAAAAAGCTGGAAGTAGTATTGTGGCTAAGATGGTAGAGTGCTAGTCTTGAGCAAAAGCAGGTCAGGGACAGTGCCCAGGCCCTGAGTTCAAGCCCCAGGACTGGCAAAAAAAAAGTACAGAAAATAAAAGAGAGCTGGGAAGGTGGCTCAGTGGTAGAGTGCGTGCCTTGCATGCATGAAGCTCTGGGTTCGATTCCTCAGCACCACATAAGCAGAAAAAGCCAGAAGTGGTGCTGTGACTCAAGTGGCAGAATGCTAGCCTTGAGCTGAAGAGCTGAGGGACAGCACCTAGGTCCAGAGTTCAGGCCCCACAAGAAAGGAAAGAAAGAAAGGAAGGAAGGAAGGAAGGAAGGAAGGGAGAGAGAAAGAAAAGAGAGAGAAGGAGAGAGAGAAAGAGAGAAAGAGAGAGAAAGAGAGAAAGAGAAGAAAGAAGAGAAAAAGAAGAAAACAAAAGAAATACCACCTACCAGACATAAAAGTGAGCTGCTGACCATCTTTGGCCTCTAACCACTATGCAGTTTTAGTTTCCCATCGACACACATCCTTAGTTGATTTCCATATAATTCCAATTATCCTGCCATGGTTTTCTTCTTGTTCTAACCAAGTAAGCTAGTAAGCTTAGTTCAGCATTTCATCACCAAATTTCATCCTCATAACCAAGTAAACCACACAGGGAAGAGCTGTCAGCATGGTGAGCACCTTGTTGCTCATCCCTGCTCAGAGTCCGGGCTGAGGTGGTCTTACAGGCTGGAGGACTGTGCTGCCCTGGCCTCTCATTTGTTCAGTGGAGTGATTATGAGCTATGCTGACCACATAATGCTCAGCCCTACTAGGTAAGCAGTCATGGCCCCAAATGGGTTCTGGTTCTAAGTAAAAGTTCTATTGGGTTCTGACAAAAATCTCTCTGGAGGCATCTTTAGATTCCAAGACCCAGGTGAGTTGTTGAAGTAGGGTGAGGTAGGGAGATGTTCTAGCTCTTTCCAGCTATCTGTAAGGGATGCATTATTATGCTAAGGATATGGAGTCTTCTAGAAGAGTCTTGTTGAATATATACAGGAGTGGGTGGGGGTGTGGAGAGAGAAAGAGAGAGAGAGAGAGAGAGAGAATAACAATAGAAATAACAACATGCCTGTAATCTTAGCTACTCAGGAGACTGAGATCTGAGGATCAGGGCTCAAAGCTACTCACGGAAGAAAAGTTTGTGAGAGTCTTATCTCAAATTAAGCAGCAAAAGGCCAGAAATGGAGGTGTGGCTCAAGTAATAGAGTGCCAGCCTTGAGTAATAAAGTCAAGCAAGAGTTCAAGACTCTGAGTTCAGGCCCCATATCAGTGTTACACGTGCACACATGCACACGCACGCGCGTGCACATACACACATAAGAAATAACACAAGCTATTTTTATGTGCTGATGGAAGAATTCTTTGGATTTCTAGCAGTGGGGTCCCTGTCTTTATATTTTTCATGTTATAGCAAAAATCAATATTATCAGTTTAAATGGAATGCTATTTTAGGAAATTCTATCCCCTCTTCCTAATAAGATGGGCTTAGAGCTCAGCAACAAGCCCTCTGGGTCACAAAGGATATGAGTGTGACTTTGGATTTAGCTGGGGTCCTAAAATGTCCTATAATACTGAATTGTTTTCTCTTTTTTCTTTTTGCCATAGGCTTTTAAAATAGTTTTCTTGTCCTCAAAAATCAGACAATGCTTTGTCAAAAATTACTCAGTGATACTTTTTCATCTTCAAATAACATTCATTTTAAAGTCAGACTTAAACATAATTTTAAGGTGCTTCCACAGAGCTTGTCTTGTAATGGTAATTCCTCCCCTTTCCCTTTAAACATCTTCACAGTTAAGGAGTGCCTAGCCTTCTGTCTTTGGCTATTCTTCAGTCTCTAACACAGAGATTGTTGTTGTTTTTGGGTTTTCTTTTCATTTAAAAACTTCTGTTTCTTGAGACGTGGCACATGCTTGTAATTCTTAGCTACTCAAGAAGCTGAGATCTGAGGATTGCAGGTCATAGCCAGTCCAAGCAGAAAAGTCCATGAGACTCTTATCTCTAGTTAACCAGCAAAAAGTTGGAAATAGAGATGTGGCTAAAGTACTAGTGTGCCAGCTTTGGGCAGAAAATGCCAAGTGAGAGTACAAGGCCCTGAGTTCAAGCTCCAATTCCAACACACACACACACACACACACACACACACACACACACACACACAGCCTAAAAAAAGTCCTATTTATTGAATTCTCACTCTAGGCCACGCACTTTACGCTTTACATATGTTCTCCCATGTCATCGTCTTGCAGGTATAATTGTTCTTTTAGGAGAGAAAACTGAGACTCAAAAAAGTTAAACTGAGTCAGTGTTGCCTGCTTGGATTTCCAGTTACCCCAGAGGCTAAGGCAGGATGATCACTTGAGTTCTTGAGTTGAAGAACCAGAATAGGCTATATAGTGAGTCTCTGTGTCTAAAAAACCAGAAAAGAAAAAAGAAGAAAAACCCCTAAAGCTAAGTAACATTCCAAATAGCATTCAGTTAATGAGCAGAGAAGCTAGAATTGAAATTCCAGTCTCTCAATGTCTGTTTTCCCACAGTGCCTTTGGCTTTCCTGGAAATAAAACATTTTTCCCTGAATCTTCAACTTGGGTTGGAATAGCCTATAAATCTGTTCACAGAGATGTGTTTCTCTCATTTTATAGTCAACATTAACCTCTATACATGATTTCAAAGAATCCTGTGGTTACATTCTCCTCTCCCACTCTCCAAGCAGTGTTTTGGGTTGTCCAACACTAGTATAAATCTAAGATCCTTGTGTAATATTTCCCTTATGCCTTTGACACATTTACTTTGTACTCTTTTGTTCTTCTTTGTAGAATTAAGCTCTCTTTGTCATAGTCTTTTCGCTTTTGAGGTTAACCAGTAAATCACAAGCTCACAGACTCCTAAAATTTCCTGAAACTGAGCCTCAAAAGATTTGTACAGCCAACTCTAGCATCCGATGGGCCAAAACCCCCAGCCGCTGGCTGTGGTCTCTCTGGGCTACTAAACCTCACAGTCTGGCCTGTGCTTGAAGGAGACACAGCCTTAATCACCCCACCTAACACTTGAGTTGTCCCAAAAGTTCACAAATCAAGAAGAGATATCCTTAAAGTGATGCCACCTATTTTCCCTTTTTTGGAGGGTGGGTGGGTGGGTAGGATGGGGCTTAAACTGAGGGCCTTGCATTTGTTCAGCTTGCTTGTTTGTGGCTACCACTTGTGCCATGTCTCCAGCCCAGTGTTTTGCTGCTGCCTCCCCCCCCCCCCCCCACCTCCTGCCACACACACCTAGGTAAAAGTATCAAGGACTTTTCTGCCCAGGCTTGACTTCAAATGTCAATCCTCCCAGATCTCAGCCTCCCTGAGTAGCTAGGATCACAAGCGTGAGCCACTGGTCCATGGCTGTAAATTTAACAAAAAGAAAAGGGATTCATTCAAATGGCAGGTGGTGGTTCTCTGACAATTTTCAGGAATGTCTAAAAGACACTCTACTGCTGCTGGGCTGAGCTGCTTAGAGAAGGAGGCTTTTGTTACTAGATATCCTGCCTGGACCCTAGTAGAAGACAGATGTTGGGCTGCGGCCTACTTCCATATGTTTAAAAGGCCTATTTGTCCTTTCTGGGTCATATTTCAGTACTTCTCCCGCCCTTTTCAGACCTACAAGGAAATCAGAGGAAGGGGCCAGGAATGTTAGGAAATAACAGGCGACAAAGAGCACCATGGGGAAGAAATTGAAGCAAGGTTAGCCAGGCCCAAAGAGCATAAAAACAATGACCACAAAGCTAGGCACCTGTAATCCTAGCTACTCAGGAAGCTGAGGTCTGAGGATCAGGATTCAAAGCCTACCTAGACAGGATAGTCCCAGTGAGACTGTAATCTCCAATTAACCCCTTAAAGTGGAGCTGTGGCTCAAAGTGGTAGAGCACTAGCCTTGAGCCCAAAGAGCTAGGGACAGTGCCCAAGCCCTGAGTTCAGAGCTAGGGACAGTGCCCAAGCCCTGAGTTCAAGCCCCATGATTGGAAAAAAAAAGAAAAGCTGGAAGTGGAGAAAAGGACACTTGGAGCATTGAGGTTTATTACACCACTGGGCCCAGAAGAGCTCCTACTCCAAAATCTGAGCCCCAACTGACAGAAGAACCATCCTTCTATTGGGTAATGCTCAGGTGTTTTGAGTTTTGGTTTTTCCCAGCAGTTACCATTTCTTGAAAATTACTTGCAAGCTGGTTCTGACAACACTGGTTGACTCATTCTGATAATGGCAGGTTTTCCTTATAAGTAGAGTGGCAGCTTTGGGTGATAAAGCAAAAAAATACAATTTCACACATTATTCTAATATGTTTAATAATGAAGCTCTTCTCATCCCTTCCAGGATAGACTACACAATGAACAACATCAATAAAAACCAGAAGATCTATTGTGACAATTAATAACCCCTAGACCAGGCCGCCGAAGAACAAGAGACAATCGTGCTTCACAATCATGGATGACACTGATATTTCAGAAGATACAATTTGCCGACAACAGGAGGATTTGCCTTATGATGAGGACCTGCCCCAGATGTTTTGCAATGACTATCATTTTACCTTCAAGAATGACAAACTCAGTGCCTCAGGTCAGCTTATTCTGACAGGACCAAACCCTCAAGACAAGCCTGCACAAACTAAGACCTTCCAAAATTCAATTATGGCCATGGGTTGGGATAAAAGCACAAAAAATACAGTCTACAACAATTATAATAAGGAGAAACTATCCATCATGGCTCTTCATATTCCAGCCTATAGTTCAAATGATTCAAAGGCAAACATTTCTAATATTTTACACCATCGTCTTTTTAGAGAACAAATCTTAAGAGGCAAAGGTATTGATTGTGAAACACTCCCAGAGACCTCCAATACTGACAGTGTTGACAAAGCAGCTGTTATAAGAAATATAATTTCACGCTATGTTAAGAAGTCTTGCCACAAAGAACAAACCTCAGAATTCACTGGCCAACCCAAGCCAAAAAGGGGTGGTATAAACAGCAGGAAGCCAAGTCATTATCTAAGCGTGATAGCAGAAACTACCTCAGATATAGAAGAGCCTTGTGCTGCTAGAGATGGATTCCATCAAGAAAATCCACACTTCCTAACTGAAATTAAGGGGACAAGCGATAAAGAAAAATATTCCAGATGGCAGGTACCCCAGAAACAGCTGACTGAAAAAGCAAGTTCAAACAAAGGGTTTAAAGATGGCCAAGGTCAAGTTCATCACCAGCACCTGAATTTCTCTAAGGTTGCCCCCAGAGTGAAAATCCCTAGAAATAACACAATGGAGAAGCCATTTTCCGTAGATAAACAAGTTAGCTTTTCTCCTACATTGAGAACAAAACCAATGGCTTTACAAGAAATTTTAGAAGCCATGTCGAGGTCAGATGATGTTTCTAAACAACATCCAGAGCAACCAAAGAAAGAAACAGAGCCTTTCCAACAACTGCAGGTAAATGAAAAGAGTCTCCTGTAAATGCTTAGTTGGTGGGCTTGAGAGGGTAGTTCTTGGTTTTCTTTCCCAGTGACTTGAACTCTCAGAAACTCAGTGGTGTCTCCATGAGAAGCATTGGGCTGACCCAGAATAACATATAAGAGAATAAAATGCAATTTCCCCAAGCTGGAATTTGGGTCTCTCTATTTTCCCAAATATCATCTATGTTTCAGCTCCTCCCCTGGCAGTCCAGACTCACCTATTTGGCTGGTCCTGAACCTCTTCTCAGGACCAGCCCTGAATTCTTTGAACTCCTTCCTTGCTTGGAATATTCCATCTCCACTCATCAAAGGGCTGTTGGTTACTTTGGATTCTTCCCTTCCCTTTGTGTGACCTAACTGCTGATGCATCAAGTCACCATCTTTTCCATCCTTGCTTCTTTGCTACTTCTGTCTTAGCAGTTTGCTCAGCCTGCTGTGGATCCTCATAATCTGGAGGTGTCTGTGGTCATTTTCTTCTTCTAGACTGGCAGACACTGGGAGACAGTAAACTTTTTTGCATCGTCCATTGTCGGGCATCCTCCCCCCACCCCCAAGGATAACATAATTCAGGACCATTTATATCAGATTTTGTTAACGTTTATATTGCTACTCCCTCTTATCCCGTATGCTCAATGCCACCCAACTTGCCAACATATGGAGACTTAGATTCTCCTTGGATGAGGTTCAGTACTAAGGTAAATTCACCTTAGCAATCAAAGTAAATGTCTTAATTCTTTGGCACTTTGACAGAATTGTATAGTCTCCTTTTACTTCTTTTGTGGTACTGGGGTTTGAACTCAGGATCTTACACTTGTCAGGTAGGTGCTCTACTACTTGAGCCATACACCTAGCCCATTTTGCTGTGTGTGTGTGTGTGTGTTTAATTATGGTGTTTAATTGTAGATAAGAATCTTACAGACTTTCCTTCCTAGGATGGTTTTGAACCAGGATCCTCAGAGTTCAGCGTCCTGAGTGGCTAGGATTACAGGTATGCAATCCTAGCTATTCAGATGGCTAAGAGCTGAGGATCGTAGTTCAAAGCCAGCCCAGGGAGCAAAGCTCATGAGACACTTATCTCTTGTGGACCAGCAAAAAGCCAGAAGGAGCTATTATGGCTCAAGTGGTAGATCACCAGTCTTGAGTGACAAAAGTTAAGGGACAACACCCTGGCCAGATCACCCCCAGTACTAGTACAAAGCCAAAAAGAACAATGGTTCTTTCTCTTCTAGAGTTGTGTTTGTGGACTAGTCTTAGGAGAAATGCTGGAGAGTATTCCACATGCTAGAATCAAACACAATCCAATGGCAGCTAATGTGTATCAGACTTATTACTTGCTAGATAGTATGTGAATATTTAACATGTAATCTTCATATAAACCCTATGAGGTAGATTATGTTACGATCCCTATTTTACTTCCAAGACATTTAAGACTTACATGATAGTACTTGGTTGCTCAGCAAAGAAGCCTCAGAATGGAATTCAACCTCAGCCTCCTGGTCCAGGCTCTTGACCATAGTAATGGGCTGTCTGCATGGGGGTCAGAACATAGCAAGTCATTCGGAATACTACTGTCATCCATTGATCTCCACAGTAACATTTTCTTATTATTTGTGTAGATGGAGCCTGAAAAGCACATCAATCAACAACACACAGGTACTAATACCTTAAATTTTCTATCTTTAAATAGGCCTTTTTTTTCCCTGGGGGCTGGTCCTGGGGCTTGAACTCAGGACCTAGGTTCTATCCCAGAGGTTTTTTGTTGTTGTTGTTGTTTTTTGTTTTGTTTTGTTTTGCTCAAGGCTAGTTAGTGCTCTACCACTGGAGCCATAGCTCCACTTCCAGCTTTTTGCTGGTAATTAGAGCTGAGAGTCAAATGGACTTTCCTGCCTGGGCTGGCTTTGAATCATGATCTTCAGATCTCAGCCTCCTGAGTAGCTAGGATCATAGGCAGGAGCCACTAGCGCCTGGCATAAATAGGCATTTTGAACACAAACAAATAAAAACATAGAGCAAATGATGGTGATCTACCACAGACTTCTATTTCTAGTTAATAAAACTATAAATTAAAATGAATCTTAGCCTAAATTTACTCTCTCTTATTTACAGGAAAAGAAATGGAGACAAACCTCTTGAAGTTGACATTAGCCTCTCAGAAAATCCCTTCCTCAAATTCTTACATTTTTCTAAAGATATCCCAAGGGACACAGATGTGCCAGAAGTTAAAAGAACAGACTGATCAACTGAAGACTAAGGCAATACTTTGAAAGCTTGTTATAAATATTGGAAATAACCAAATTCAAACACAAATGGCCAAACCGCTAATTCAATATTGCATTTTTCTACCACAGGTACAAGAATTTTCCAAAGAGGTACAAGAATTTTCTAGAAGAATCAATCAGGAGTCTCCCAGTGACTTACAAGACAGAAGAATGGTAATGACTTCAATCCACTTTTTTAAAATACTTGGCAATTTGACATAGGCAATTACAAATGACTTTATAAAGCAATGTCATCTCTTCAGTGGTGGGAATGAGAAGAGATGTTTGGCTAAAAGTTAAACCATCTTAGTTTCTGAGGATAAATGAACACATACGCATATCTGTTTCTAGATATATGAGTCTTTTTCTTTTCTTTTTTTTAAAGTCTTACCAAGATTTAATGTACATTATTATTTTTTTTTTTTTGGTTGGTTGTTGGGCCTGAACTCTGGGCCTAGGTGCTGTCACTCAGCTTTTCAGCTCAAAGCTAGCTCTCTACCACTTGAGCCACAGCACCACTCCCAGCTTTTTTTGCTTATGTGGCACTAAGGAATCGAACCTAGGGCCTCATGCAAGCAAGGCAAGCACTCTACCACTGAGCCACCTTCCCAGCCCCAAACATTTGTTCTTAACACGTGGAACATATAGTATAAAAATTTTATACTGAATAAATGATATGCATTAAGCCAAAAGAGGAAAAAAGAATTTACATTAAGTTTTAGCTACATTGTTGAAATACAAATATGCAGATTTTATCACTGAAAAAATATGAGTGTTTTTCTTCCTTGAGGCATTTATAACATTATTACATACCTTACCAGTAGCCAGTAATAATAAATAATAAACCAATAATAATAAATCTGAGTCCATGGTATGTTCCAAAGTAGCATGTGCATATAGGTCATTATAAAGAGCAAACCTAGGTGGCTCATACCTGTAATCCTAGCTACCCAGGAGGCTGAGAGCTAAGGATTGTTGTTTGAAGCCAGCCTATGAGACCTCCAATTAACCACTCAAAAGCTGAAAGTGCAGTTGTGGCCAAGTGGTAAAAGCACTAGCCTTGAGGATAAAAGCTCAGGACAGCGTCCAGGCCTAGGATGGACACACACACACACACACACACACAGAGGTAAACCAAAAGTTAAGCTCAAATCAAGCTTTACAGATTTAAAATATTTTACTTTCTTGCTTATTTACTACATTTATTCAAATAAGTAATCCATGTTGTTACTATAACAGCCTTGTTTTCAGTCCAGGGTGGTGGGCAGTGGAGGTAGAGCAATGGGGAGACCCATAAATGGGCTCAAGATGGACAATATAGTTTGTACCATGGTCTCAGCAATGGAAGTCCAGATTCAGGGCCAATCCAGGTTCAGTCAAGCTATGCTACAAAATTGCCAAGTGTGAACAAAACCCAGAGGAACTCAGGTGCTAAAGGACATAGGTGGCCTCTGTCATCAATTATTAAATCATGCATTCAGAAGACATTTATCTGGCATGAGTTAAATGTCCCAGACTCTTTCTCAGGGTCTAGGGATTTGGATATGGAAAAAGAAATTCTGCTTTTTCCAATGATTTTAGTCTGCTAGTAACAACAGCTTGGTGAACTGACCAGTAAAAGACCACTTGAGTAATGTTGGAGCTGGCGCTCACAGCAGCCCAGAAGAGGTGCATCCTTGCCAGCGAGGGAAGTGATTTCTGCTATGGACATTACAGGGGAACTTGGCAGAGTAGGGGGCACAAGAGTCTTCTAGAAGAAGGAAACACATGCAATGACACATGGGAAAGAAAGCGCTGCAAGCGTGAGGATCTATGTGGCCCTGTAAATTCCTGGGTAGAACCCAGAGTACACATGGTAAAGTGGAAGAGCAGTCTAATCAGGGAGTCAAGGACATTTGCAAGGCCTCTGAGCCACGTTAAGGAGCTTGGATTTTTGTTTTGAGTTTGAGCAATGGGACAAGAATGCAGGTACCAGTTACTTAGGAATCAGTAAGTCAGGACAAGTTATAAGGCCCTGAATCAGGGCTGGCAGTAAGGGTGGAGAGGGGGCTAGATCTACACATAGGGGTGATAGACTGAAAGGGAGGGTGAATAAAGGGAGAAGGGGTTAATTGAGACCAAGTGAAATATCCAGATCAGACTGGTGTGAAAGGCAGGCAAGAGGCAAGGTGTCAAGTACAATTGAAGACTTGAGATCAAGGCTCCAATAGGATATCCAAGTGGAAAGGTGGTGTGTGTAGTTAAAACAATGGATCTAGCCCTTGGAGGGGTTTGGATCAGAAATACGGATTTATCAAGGATAAAGTCATAGGCGATAATAACTAGAGGGCAGGGGGAAAAAAGATGCTCCCAAGGGAGAATGAATTGGGGGGAAACTACACAGGGTCAGGAGCAGACCTGAAGGAGCAGAGCTACTGACACTAGGAAAAAGGAAGGCTTTAAGAAGGTGAGAAAAAGGGCCGTGCCACCAAATGTTCAAGAAAGGAAGAGACTAAGACATGGACTGACTTAGGCTACCAAGAAGGCATAAGGGTTCTTGCTTGGCAAGCTTGGTGTCAATGAAGTGGTGTGTGTGAAAGCCAATTGCTAAGAAATAAATGAGCCGGGCGCTGGTGGCTCACGCCTGTAATCCTAGCTACTCAGGAGGCTGAGATCTGTGGATCGCGGTTCAAAGCCAGCCCGGGCAGGAGAGACCGTGAGACTCCTATCTCCAATAAACCACCAGAAAACCGGAAGTGGCGCTGTAGCTCAAGTGGTAGACCGCTCGCCTTGAGCTGAAGAGCTGAGGGACAGCGCCCAGGCCCAGAGTTCAAGCCCCACGACTGACAAAAAAAAAAAAAAAGAAATAAATGATACACAAGGCGTCAAAAAATTAGGACTTGGGGAACTGGCTGAATATAGGATCGAGAGGGTCCAGAAAGCAGAACTGGTTCAAGGCCTTTAAAGACTTCAGTTCAGAAGTTTCTTCCTGATGGTAGAGAGTAAGCAGGGATTCCTACTGGGACTGAGATAGTAAAGGGCTCCTGACAGCCTGTGGTCTGAGAGGCCCATTTGGTTCAGGGCTAAAAGGAGATAGGAGCTTAAAAGAAGTAGCTGGAGGAATGGATGGCCAATGTAGTGGTGCTTGGTAGGAGGGTGTAAGTCAATCCACAATGACATAGAAAGGAGGGAACTGGAGAAATAAAGACCCTTACCTTGTCCTTTGCCAACTCCTTTCTCCTGTCACTATCTTCTATTGGCTGCAAACAACTAAAGCCAAGACAGATGGGAGCCTGGTGAGGTTTCTGAGCCACAGAGAAAGATGGAGGCTAAATATTGGGTTTCTCCCAAGACTGGTGGAAAACATCCACCAGACTTGCCATTTTTATACCTTATAGCCAGCAGGTTTCCAAACTTGGATTCTTTTTCTTTTTTTGTGTGTGTGTGCCAGTATTGGGGCTTGAACTCAGGGCCTTGCACTTAAAATTCCCTTTTTCCCACAAGGTTGGTTGGCACTCTACCACTTGACCCACACTTCCATTTACAGCCCTTGGCTGGTTAATTGGAGTTAGGAATCTTTCCGTCCTTCCTGCCCGGGCTGGCTTTGAAATAGAAATCCTCAGATCTCAGCCTACTGAGTAGCTAAGATTACTGGCAGTGCCCAGCAAATACACAGGATTACAGATTGCTCCACTTAGGAAGGCCTGGGGCCACTAAATGCATCCATCTGAGAGAGAGGAAAAGAGAGAAGGGGGAGGGGAAGAGAGGTAAAGGGAAGGGAAGAGGAGAGAAGGGAGGGGAGGGGAAAGCAACTGTTGCAGCCATGTGCTAAGAGCATGCAGTGATGGCCGGGCTGGTCCTCGGGTGGTCTCAGTATATTTTAGGTGTCTAAGTCTGAGAAACGGCACTGCAGAAGCAGGTGGGAACAGCATTTAGAACTACTGTAGGGCATTGTGTCTGGGGGACAATGACTACATCTGCAGGCTTGTGAATGACTCCTGTGATTTTGTGCCATAGGTCCCAGAGCAACTGCAGGGCCACCTTGAAGTGGATCAAGACTGTCTGGCCACCACGGAGAAGCACCTGACCTTGCACGAGCAAACCCTTAAGTGTGAATCCTCAGCTATGGGCGACTTCAATCCGGAAAGGTTAGTGTTAAAACAACTGTGCAAGGTGGTTGGGCCAAAGGCCACCTTTATGTAGGGGTTAGTTCTTGGAAACTAACTGTCTAGACTAACTGTTACCTGATGCCACAGTGGTATAGAATACTTCTGTGTGAGTGGTATCTGCTGAGACAGAGGTGCTGTGCCACCTTTTTTGGGGGGATGAACGGCAGTACGGGGATTTGAACTCAGGGCCTCATGCTTGCCAGGCAGGCTTTCTACCATTGAGCCACACCTCCAGCCCTGTTTTTTTTCTGGTTATTTGTTTCTGCCTGGGTCAGCCTTGAGCTGTAATCCTCCTATCAGCCTCCAATAAAGCTAAGTATTAGAGGCATGAGCTATGGGGGACTCAGCTCTGTGCCGTGTTTTTGCATTTTGTTGGATGTTATTTTCATTGGTTCTGAGACCCAGATGAGCACAAGAAAATCCTAGAAAAGCTGGGGGATTTCGTTCCTCTCCTCTCCTCTGTTCTCTGTTTCTCCCACTTACACTTTTCTGCTCCTGCCTAGTGTTCTCTCCTCTTCCTCTCCCTACTTTTTCTCATCCCTGACAATTTGGAAGGGCAGTGGGCAGAAGTTCATAGTAGAACTGATTTGTGGCAGGGTAAGGGACCAAAAATCCTGATAAAGAAAAATGGTAAATAAAGCTTGATTTCTTGTTAATTGATTGCTGAGCCAGGTGCTGGTGGCTCATGCCTGTAATCCTAGCTATTCAGGAGTCTGAGATCTGAGGATAAAGGTTTGAAAACAGTTCAGACAGGAAAGTCCAAGTGACTCTTATTTCCAATTAGCCTACAAAAAAACTAGAAGTGGAGGTGTGGCTCCAGTGGTAGAACACCAGCCTTGAGGGGAAAGAGCTGGGCAAAAGTGAGATCTGGAGTTAAGGTCCCAGTACCAGCATACACACAAAAAGACTCCGAAGTTAATTCACATTAGACACTTGGCCTCATTCTCATTTTTTTTGGAATCATTTTTTTTCTCTCCACTACAAATAATTTTAAGAAACATTCCAGAATTCCAGGCTAAAACTGTTTCCACTTAATTTCCTGAATTAGAAGAATCCATTGAGTAGGATTAGTACTTAAGTCCAACTCTTTCTATTCATAGCATGTCAACACAGAATCATTCCTGATGCCAAAATATTTTAGTGACCTATGTTTCAGGATTAGTATTCTGAGGTATTTTTCCTGAGGTACAATTCTACTTACTAAAAATGAATGAGACTTTTGTGGACCTTTATTTCCATATTGAGTAATAAATACCTGGGAGGGGATTTTAATGTTGTTTTTCCCCCTCAAAGGTTTATTTCTACTACACCCCTGGGGGAAGATATGTTCATATGCTTCTGCTATTTGTTAAATTAATGGAATAGGTATATTTGTTTTCCAAGGAATCTCTGGTTTTTAGCAATCATTTCTAAGACAGGCATCTGTGCACATTGAGACCAAAGTTATGCAGTGCTTATTTATATCCTAGTTACAACCACACTGGGCCTGGCATGAGTATAAATCAAAAGGATTTTTAGCTGCCCTTATATCCCATATATGGGAAAAGCTTTCAACACTGGGCATGGGAGGAGCCAGCGGCTCCCATAGCCCACTTAAGGTCACCTCAGGACAAGGGAGGCTGATCAGGTCAAGATGGACCCTCTTATTCTTCCTGGATTAACAAGTCAATGGCTGGAATACCATATACCCTGCAGACTTTCAAGGTCTTAAAGTTTCAAGAAATGTCTTAAGTGTTTAGTCCAAAGGTGAATGTAGATATCTTTCTGTAAGGACAAGAAGTCTGTAAATTCATTGAGTCATCGCTTGCTTCCCTAAACCCCTCTGCTGGACAGCTGCTGGTTTATACCTGTAATCCCAGCTACTCAGGAAGATCTGAGGATCCTGGTACTGAGGACTGAGGTTCAAAGTCAGCCCAGGAGTGGATGTACACATCAACTTGAAGTGGTTGAGTGCCAGCTTTGAATGAAAAAATGCTAAGGACAGTACCTAGGCCCTAAGTTCAAGCCCCAGTACTGGTGCACATGTAATGAAGTCCAAATGTGATTCTTTTGCACAGTAACCAGAAGCTAAAAATTCAAGGAAAGGGTAGTCTACCTCCATCCGTCCCTTCTTCCTGATATTTTCTCTATTGTCTAAATGTCTCAAAAATGTCTTTCCTTTTTTCTTCCTTCACTCAGCCCTCCAGCCTCTTCTATCATGTCCTCGAGTTTTTCTTTTGACTACCTGAAGATTTTGCTCCATCATTTCACTTTTTTTTTCTTTTTTATGCCAACACTAGGGCTTGAACTCAGGGCTTTGAACTCTCACTTGGCTTGCTTATTCATTGCTGATGCTCTACCACTTGAGCCACTCCTTCAGTTCAGCCTTTTCTTGCCCAGGCCATCCGGGGCAGAAAAATTTATGATACTTTAAAAAAAATATACCTAAAAATTATTTCCACAAAGGACTCAAATCACCAGATCAGGATCAGATAAGCAAAGTTGTTATTCCCTGGTGTAGCTGAGACATTAGATGTAAAAAAAAAAAAAAAAGAGGAAGTGATTTATCAAATGATCCATAGTTCATTGGCAGCAAATAAAGATTGGAACCCAGGACTTAGAAATGAGACTATAAACGGGCTGCTAGTCAGGGCAGGTGTGCATTTCCCTTCCTGTTGGAAGGCAGGCCACATTGATAATATAAGATCAGTGTTGTGGCCAACAATAGGGCTGATTGATTGCACAGCCTCTATATTTACTCTGAGAAGTAGAGGCTGCTTAAAGATATTCAAGAGGAAACTGATGGACACAAACACACTTCTGCTCTCCCTCTTGGGGTTTTCCAGACACTCTGGATGGCTTGACCTCCATTTCCTCTTTGCCCTCCAATGAAATAATACCCTGACCTACAGCCTAATTTTGTGTAAGGAAAAATGGTCTGCGTGCATGCATACACTCCTAATTCATGGAGTCACTGAATTCTATTTTAATAATCCATGAAATATTTCCAAAGTCCATGAATCATAATATTTAAAATGGAACCAGCTTTTAATAATTGGAAGGTATTTTGAGCATTGGCTTTTGAAACATCTTATTAGTTTAGTCACAATGAAGTTGAAGTTTCAAGGAAGAGATACTTCTGATGAATAATGAAACATAGGTTTATAGTTCTTTTTCTAAATAAAGAAGTGTGTGCTCAGTGACATAATTATTTCCTTGGAGTCTGCTTTTGAATTTTCCATCTTGGGTTAAATTCTTTTGGATTGTCTACATATAAAGAAAAGACTGGAAATGCCAATCAATCAGCACTGTCTTTATATATTGCTTTGTGTTCTCAACTTTCAGAACATTTCAGACTAAATTAAAATTGTGAGGAATTGTCATTTAAACTACTTGACACTAGTTGCATACAGCATTGAAAGATGGAACTTGGAGCGGATATCCAAAATTTGAATAAGGTTTTTGTAAGAGCTAAGTACAAGGTAAGATTAGCCAGCACCAGTGGCTTAAGCCTGTAATCCTAGTTATTCTGGAGGCTAAGATCTGAGGATCATGATTTGAAGCCAGCCTGGGCAGACAAATCTGAGAGACTCTCATCTCCAACTAACCAGCAAATGCCAGAAGTAAAGGTGTGGCTCAAGTGGTAGAGTACCAGTCTTGATGAGAAAGCATCCTGGCCCTGAGTTCAAGCCCCAATACCAGCATACACCCTTCCCACCACCACACACATTCTAAAAAATTAGTTCTTCCAAAGAAGTATGCTTGCCTTCTCAAAACACGTTGGTATCTAGCAAAATCCGAGTCATTAAGGCCCAACCTCAGAGTCAGGTCATTTCCCTGCCCTTGATACCCAGTCCCCCTCCTCAGTCAGAATTCAACTGCAGCTTTGAGTTCCTTCAACTCTGGGTCTCACTTATTCTGTGCCTTGGAACTCGTCTTAGCATGCTGAACAGCTGCCTGAATGCCTAGATAGAGTGGAGGCTCAATACAGGAAACTTAGGGCTTCCATGGGTTGGACAGCCAATCTCAGGGTGTGGCTCACAGTCTGTAAGGTTCACAGCACTTAGGCCTGTGAAGCCTGAATCTGAATTACCTTTAAGGGGGTATAGGAGCCTGATGAGTCAGCCCAGCAGTTTCCTCACATCTGGATTTGTTTTTCATTTGTTCCCAAGTTCACAGCATCTGTTGGGAAATGATGACATGGTTATGTCTAGGGTTTTGGCCAGTGCTGAGATGTGTGAAAGAATTCACCATTAGGGCTGGGAAAGTGGCTCAGTGGTAGAGTGCTTGCCTTGTATGCATGAGGCCCTGGGTTTGATTCCTCATAAGCAGAAAAATCTGGAAGTAGTACAGTGGCTCAAGTAGTAAAGTGCTATCCTTGAGCTGAAGAGCTCAGGGACAGCGCCCAGGCCCAGAGTTCCACGACCGCCAAAAGAAAAAAGAAAAAAAGAATTCACCATTCACCAAAAGGTAGTATGGCTAAGCAAGAGGGCAAAGGTATATTCACTTTCCGTGAGAGTAAAGGGGCAGACACCCATGGGCAGTGTCACCCTGGGTGGGGTTAGAGTTGTGTTTCATGAGCATTTAAGATGGAGAAGGATTACACTGCTAACGTTTTGTAGTTTTAGCTCAGTAGTTGTTGTAGGAAGCTGCTGTGGAGGGGGGAGTCAGTTTCTTGATTTTTTTTTTTTAACCAAGGTCGTTGTTAGTTGGCAGTATTTTAGTTTGTAATATGTTGTCTAAACAGGAGATAGAACTGCTTCTACAAAACAAAATGAAGTAGTCAAGAAGTAGTCTTCCTTCCAGACAGGATGGAATCTTGCAAAATGAAATGAAGCTACTTTGAGCTGGGGCCTTCCAAAAAATTCTGTAACTTCACAATGAATAAACCTGAAGAGAGTGTACAACTAGTATTCATTTGCTCATTCATATAGCAATTATTGCTGTTTTGCTAGGCACCTTTTTGTTGTGTTGGGGATATGAAATAAGCAAAACAGACAAAGCATCTGCCTCACTTCTGTGAGCGAGATACATTAACAGAGTTGAAATATAAGTAGGTGTGGTGGTAGATTCCTATAATCCCAGCACTTGGAAGGCTGAAGCAAGTGGACTGAATTTGAGAACAGCTTGTCCTCCAAAAAATATGATTATAGAATGTTAAAAATGCTATGCAAATTTGCCTCAGTGGCTCATGCCTATGGTAATGGCAGATACAGGACTGTGGTTTGAGGCTAACCTGGACAAAAATAAAAGACTCTATTTGAAAAATAACTAAAGCAAAAAAGAATTGGGTACACAGGTTAAGTGGTAGAGCACCTGCTCACAAGCTCAAGATCCTCAGCTCAAACTTTAATATCACTAAAAACAAAACAAAAGGACTGGGAATGTGGCTTGGTGGTAGAGTGCTTGCTGAGCATGCATGAAGCCCTGGGTTTGATTCCTCAATACCACATAAGCAGAAAAAGCCAGAAGTGGTGCTGTGGCTCAAGTGGTAGAGTGCTAGCTTTGAGTTTAAACAAAAACAACAACAACCCCCCCCAAAACAAAACAAAACAAGGACAGTGGCCAGGCCTTAAGTTTAAGCCTTAGGACTGGTAAAGACAACAACAACAACAAACCAAATAACAATAACGACAACAACAACACACACACACACACACACAAAATTCAGTGGTGGGGCTCACATCTGTAACCCTACCTATTCATGACTTTGAGAACTGAGGATCCTGGTTTGAAGTCCATTCAGGCAGGAAAGTCTATGAGACTTATATTCTCAATTAACCAGCAAAAAATCCAGAAGTGGAGGGGTGGCTCAAGTGGTAGAATTCCAGCCTTGAGTTAAAAAAAGCCAAGAGAAAGCATGAAGCCTTAAATTCAAGTCCCACTACTGGCATAAAATTTAAAGAAAAAGACAGTGCTATGCTAGAAGTAAGACCTTACAAGCAGATTACCTGGATTCAAATACTGGCCCTGTCACATACCGGCTTTGTGATGCTGGAAAAGCTACATGATATCTCTGTGCCTTCTTAGCTCTCTCTTAGCTTACTAATGCTGTCATGGCACTTAAATGAGTTCGTATATGTAAAGGAGTTAAAACAGGGCCTGGCTCACAGCAAGTACATTACCCGGGTATTAGATATGCTTATTAAGTAATGAGACAGGACCAAAGTAGGTGTGGGAGGGCCATGTTGCTGAGGGAGGGGTAGTCGGAGGTGACACTAAACTGAGTCCTGAGAGGAGGCATGGAGGCTGCAGCTAGAAAAGGAGCCTGGGAAAGGGACTCCATGCCTGCTCAGGGTAGCCTGGGCATGCTGATCTGACCCCGAGTCACTGCCTCGGGCACTGCAGCCCTCAATGGCAGCTTCCTGTGTGTTCCCCCACATAATCAAGGAGCACCAGGATGATCTTCCTGACCTGGGGGCCAGCAAGAGGTTAGTAGAAGCCCTTTCCCCACCTGCACCCACAACCAGTTTATCTATTTCCTCCCCACTATCCTGAGGAGGGGTGAGATGGCTGGGGCATGGGGGAAGGACTGGTCTAGGGCTCACATGACATCCACCCACAATCACACCTCAGCTGTTCCCACCCATGCTCCCAGGAGGGCCAAATTAAATTCCCAAGGCGGCTTCATCATGTTAATGAGAAATCAGGCAATCTCCCCTAAAAAGGCTCCCCGGTAGCTCAAAACCTGATTCTCAAATGCAAAATGAAACTACTCTATTTTAAAATTTAATACTATTTACCTAAATAGGTCAAGTGAACATGCATTTACCCAGCACTAGCCAGATCAAATGGCCACATGCCTGTGTTCGGAATCCAGGGTAATATATCCTGTGACCCAGTCTGACTGACTCCTCTCCTGTCCATTCTGTTGTCTCTTTAATTATGGTCGGGGTTGATGCATGTGACTCTGGAACTGGCATCATCATCAAGATCACTTGGCTCTTTTTTTTTTTTTAATGGTGCTGGGCCTTCTGCATGATGGGTAAGTTTCTACCACTGAACTACAGCCCTATCCCCAGGCTCTTAACACTAATTGTCAGCCTGGCATTAGTGCCCACAATGGCTGCTCCTGTTCCTAAAACTTCTCACTGTTCCAGCTCACAGGAGAAACCAGATGGGGTACCTGAACACAGACTAAGGCTGCTCTAACATCACAGATCTGCTTACAATGCAAGCTTAGGTTCAGTGGGTCTTGGACTCAGTGCTCCCAGAGTGCAGCAAATAAACTCCCAGGTGATGCCACTCTTTGAGTAGCAAGGATCTGGAGATGATCCATTATGCATCAGTTGGAATTACTGGGATTCAACATCTCTGGGTCTGAAATGACAATAGCATTGGAATAATCAGTACAATAATGTTCTAAGGAATAGCTTAGAATAAATGACACAGTCCATATTAATGCCCATATTAAAACTTGATGGAGGGGATCTCCTCTAACATGAATCAGTTTTAACTGTCAAGGAAGGAGGACCCTGAAATCTTAGCAATGATAAAAGAAAGCTACAAAAAATCCACTATTTAAATGATTATAAATGTGAAACTGCAAAATAAATCTAGAAAATAGTAAGATATGGTGGTATACAACTGCAATCCAAGCTTCATGGAAGGTAAAAGCTGATCTTGGCAAAATTAAAACAAAAAAGCTAGGGGCACAGGTCAAGTGATACAGTACTAAGTGCTGGGTCCAATCTCCTCCCACAATGGGAAAAAAATTGGAAGTCAGAAAATAGAAGTAGAGAGATAAATTCCCTGAGAAAAGTCATTGCTAATATTTTGGTGCATGTTCTTCCAGTGTTTGCTGCACATGAACCTTTTTATAAAAATCGGGTCATACTATATATATTGTTTTATGGTCAATTATTTTCATTTAACATATGGTAGGCCTCTGCCCACATCTCTTAGAATTAATCTACATCTTCCTTTTGATAAGATGTTAGAACAACATACATGCCTCCAACCCCATCTTCTATACCTGCTTTGCCAGGGTGTATTTCATGAACCCTGATGCATTTAAGCAATGTATTGATAGACATTGTTATTTATTTTCTCCCTAGTTCTTAGATATTATAAACATGGCCTCAAGCCTGGCCATACAGGCTCACTCATGTCTGTAAGCTTACTCAGAAGGCAAAAATTCAGAGGATCTGTGTGTGTGTGTGTGTGTGTGTGTGTGTGTGTGTGTGTGTGTGTGTGTGCGTGTGCATGTGCGTGTGCATGTGCGTGTGTGCACACACACGCAGGCCATCTGGATCTTGAACTCAGGACCTGGGTGCTATCCCTGAGTTTTTTTTTTGTTGTTGTTCAAGGCTAGCTCTCTACCACTTTGAGCTACTTTTGCTTTTTTTGGTGCTTAATTGGAAATAAGACTCATAAAATTTCCTACTTGGGCTAGGTCCTCAGATCTCAGCCTCTTCAGTAGTTTGGATTATGGCGTGAGCTATCAATGCCCCACAAGGATCTCAGTTTGAAACAAGCCTAGGCAGGAAAGTTTGAGACTCCTCTTGAAAAATAAGCAACAGAAGGCAAAGTTGGAGGCGTGGCTCATGTGGTAGAGCATGACCTATGAGTAAGAAAGTGAGCAAGAAAATCAAGCAAGAGGCACTGAGTCCAAACTCCAGTAAGAGAGAAATATCAGTATCAACCAATCTATTCTCTCTCTCTCTCTCTCTCTCTCTCTCTTCGGTAATGTTATTTGACTCGCAAACTTTTGCCCTTTGTTGATTATTTTCTTAGAATAATATCCTAGCATTGTAATTCATGGCTTAATGGTTCACACTGAATATTCTAATACATGGTTTAGAAGGTAGAACTGATTTGTTTACAAGCCTCCATGTAGGAATCTCAGGTCTGGAACTCAGAGCTGGATATCAGTGTTCCCCCCATCCACCCTGCTCCCCCAACCATTGTTAAGTTGGCAAGTGAAACCTGACATTTCATTGCTTTTAATTTGTGAAATTCAATTTATTTTCATATGTTTCTGGGCCATTTGCACCTCATCTTTAACAACATCAACATTTTAACTTAGGTTTACACAACTAAAACTTTAAGACAACTGGGAAAATGATCTTCACTGTTGAAATTGTGATTTATCTAGTTCTCCAACAAATGCCCAAAGAAGCAGAGCTGGAGATAAGAACACAAGTATATGAGTCACAGGCTAAAGGCTTAGTCCCAGCTCAGCCACTTGTTCACTGTGAGACCTTGTCCAGTTGTTTACATTCTCTGAGCTTCAGGTTGTTCATTAAATGGAAACTCACCAGGATGGTTGGAAGTAACAGATACATGAACAGCACCTGGTATATAAATGTGCAGCATCCTGGGGTTGTTTCTATCACTAAAAAGTATTAGCCCAGCATTGGTGGCTCATGCCTGTAATCCTAGCTACTTAGGAGGCTGGGATCTGAGGATTGAAGTTTGAAGCTAGCCTGGGGAATAAAAGTTCACGAGACTCTTATCTCCAATGAACTGTCCAAAAAGCCAGAAGTGGAGCTGTGGCTCAAGTGGTAGAGCACTAGCTTGGAGCAAAAGAAGTTCAGGAACAGTGCCCAGGCCCTGAGCTCAAGCCTGGGACTTGTTCACATGCACACACACATGCATTTATTAAAGCATGCTGTTTGCCAATGGTTCATGCTTATAATCCTAGCTAATCAGGAAGCTGAGATTTAATGATCCTGGTTTGAAGCCAGCCTAGGCAGAAAAATCTGAGAGACTTATCTCCCATTAGCTAGCAAGAAGCTAGTGGTTGTCAATCTTGAGCAAGAAAGGTAAGCAAGCATTCAAGCTAAGCCCTGAATTCAAGCTCCAGTACTTGTGTGTACATAAGCACATGCACATGCATACACACAGACACAGACACACAGAGACATACACGCTACACTTTAGCCTGCTAAAAAACCAGCAGGCAAAGGAAATGAGCTAAAGTCGTGAGCAGCAAATACAATCAGTGAACATAAAGGAAATATTTATCTCTTTGAAATTATAGAAGTGATTCTAACACAACTTTCTAACCCCCTATTCCGCCTTAAAATGAACAAAAACATTTTAAAATTCTCATTTCCAGTATCAAGAAAGGTGCAGTCAAGCCCAGCTGTTCATATTGTTGGTGTAATCTGTGAGGCTTTTGTGGAAAGCAATTTGACAGAATGCATCATCATACAAACATGTGGGAAACCTTTGGTGCAGGCGTTTCCTCGGGAAGTAATTCAGAATGTGGAAAAAGCTGTGTGTTGGGTGATGTTTAGGCCAGCATTGAGCATTGTTTACAGTGGTGGGGAAGGCATGTTCATTTTCTGTTTACATAAAAGCTAAGACCACAGTGGAAATGCATGGTGGCTGCTGTCTTCCCTTTTGGAATCATTTGGTGTTAAAAAAGGGAACATATAATCAATCACTTAGGGCTCAGTCATTTCCAGTGTGTGTGTGTATGTGGGGGGTGCTGTTCCTGGGGCTTGAATTTAGGATGTAAGCTCTGTACCTGAGCTTTTGTGCTCAAGGCTAGAGTTCTACCACTTGAGCCACAGCTCCTCTTCCTCCCTCCCTCCTCCCTCTCTTTCTTTTCTCTCTCTTTCTTTCTTTCTTTCCCTCCCTCCCTCCCTCTCTCCCTTCCTTCCTTCTTTCCTTCCTTCCTTCCTTCCTTCCTTCCTTCCTTCCTTCCTTCCTTCCTTCCTTCCTTTCTTCCTTCCTTCCTTCCTTCCTCTCTTTCTCTTGGTAGTCAATTGGAGGTAAGAGTCTCACAGACTTTTCTGCCCAGGCTGGCAGATCTTAACCTCCTTAGTAGCTAGGATTACGGGTGTGAGCCACTAATGACCAGCCTCCCAAACTTTGTTCCAATTCACCATTGAATACCTTTATCTCAAAAGTGTTTAGAGCTCTACTAATCAGTGACCAATTTTAAAAGGATTTTGAAAGGGCCGGGGCTGTAGTTGTGTGCTAAGGCCCTGGCCTAGCATACTCAACACCATGCGTTTACTCTCCACCACTGGAAAGATGTGTTTTCCTAATCTGTTCACCCTTGTCTAAAACAAAGGAGAAAAGGGAGGGAAAGCATTCTCTTATCTGTACCCCAGACTGCAAACTTTGGAGGAAGAAAGAAACCCAGCCCAACTGAAACATCATTTCAGTCAATTAGCATATAAGAGGCACAGATACCACCCCAACCTCCCCCCCCCCCCCCCAATCACACACACACAAGACACATGAGAACTGAACATAGGCTCTGTCTCTCCCTCTGTTCCACCCTGGGCTTCTACCTCCCCATCTGTGAGACACTGGGTGAAGGTCTGTGGTTCTGACACAGACATTGAGCTGGGCTGGGTTGTGCATCTGGGTTATGAGTCACATCCATGTGTGTGCATTGTGGCACAAGAGGACTCCAGGGGCACCCTGGGAAGGCACATTGCACCTCCTGCCTCCTGCTTCTTGCATGGGGAGGGCTTCTAGAAGCCACAGTCCCAGGACAGGAGCGGAGCAGTGCTGAGGTAACTCCAGTGAGAGCAGGCGACAGCTAACTGGAGCCACTGGTCAGTTATAAAGGCAGGAAGCCCAGCCTCCCTCCCCGCTTCCAAATCCTGTAGCATGGTTCTTTACTCAGAGAGCACTGGGGTTTGAACTCAGAACCTCGGTGCTTTTAGAACCTTAAGCTTATTTGCTCAAGGCTGGCACTCTACCACTTGAACTTGGCTCAACTAATGGCTTTTTGATGGTTAATTGGACAGGAGAGGGTCACAAACTCTCCTGCACAGGTTGGCTTCAAGCCTTGATCCTCAGATCTTAGCCCCCCTATAGCTAGGATTACAGCCTGAGTCACACTTTAAATCGCCCCAGGTTTGGCCTGGGAAGTTGGCTCAGTGGTAGAGCGCTTGCCTTGCATGCCTGAGGCCCTGGGTTCAATTCCTCAGCACCACATAAGCAAATAGAAAAAAGCCGGAAGTGGCGCTGTGGCTCAAGTGGTAGAGCGCTAGCCTTGAGCTGAAGAGCTGAGGGACAGTGCCCACGCTCAGAGTTCAGGCCCTACGACCAGATCCCCCCCCCCAAAAAAAAAAATCTCCCCAGGTGATTCTGCTGGGCATCTCTGGTAAAGAATCGGTTGTAGCACACAGAGGGTGACCCTGCAGGTGGTTGGACATTTGTCAGCTGGGGTGTTCATGCTCACCGTTGCCCGCCAGCTCCCACAGTCACTGTCAACTTCTGTCTCTATGGTTCTACGGTGGCTCTCAGCTGTGTCCTTCATTCTCACTAAAAACAAGAGAAAGGCTGACTCCTCATTCCTAGGCAGGCCATTTTGCCAGCACTAACCTGCAGCAAAGCATGTAAAATCCTAAGGAGAAATCCTTAATGTTTTTGAAATACCCACTGGTACAACTCATGGCCAGGGTGGCTTCAGTCCTCCATAGCTTCTGTCAGTGAAGAACTGTTACCTCCCAGCAGAGCTTGGCTAGTGTACCTTGGAACGATCAAGAGTCAAGGAGGGAAGTTCTGCAACTCCTACTTAAGTAGTTAATGAACTCTAATGGAGGCAGAGGACAAGGTCTGAAAGGCTGGTTTCCTGTTAGGAAGCCCTCCACTGTGGGAATGGGCACTTAATCAGGAGTGTTTTATTGACCTTCCGCCCCCTAAAAAAGGACACAGCACGAAGTTTGTGCTAAAAATTCCCTGTGTCATTTGGAACTTGACTTCAAACCACCTTGTCTGTGGTCAGCTTCAAGCCTGCCTTTAAGTACAAGGACACTGGTGGTGCTTACTCACCCAGTCGGCCAAGCTTACAGTTTTTATTGGTTGAATTCAAGTCTGCAGTTTGGATGTTTTAATAGACCTTATTACATATAATGAAACCATTCTGACATTTGAAATAATATTATTAAATACTTTTGGTACTAATTGTTTCTCTTTCAAGATCTTGGTGTAGGTTTTACAGAACCCCAGAAGTACCAAGGCTGTGTGTGTGTGTGTGTGTGTGTGTGTGTGTGGTGGTGGGGAGTTATGGGGCTTGAATTCAGGACTGTTCATTCTCATTTGGCTGGCACTCTACCAATTAAGCCAAGCCCTACAAGCCCAGCTTTTGGCTTGTTAGTTTAGAGATGGAGTCTAGTGGACCTTTCTCCCCAGGCTTATGCTCAGATCTCAGTCTTCTGAGTAGCTAGGATTACAGCCATGAGCCACTGGCATCCATCTTAAATGTGCTTTTAAATGAGCAACAGAGAAACAAAAGTACAACCATGTATAAAATGAAACAATAAATCTACTGCAGGGGAGTGGTGAGATTCATGATTTAGGAATTGAAATCTTGGTAAGCTACACGATCCTGAGAAATTATTAAAAGAAGACTATATACATCTACTCTGTGATAAAAATAGGTATCTCTGTGAGTGGATATGTTCTCTATAAAGTTTGCTGAGGTACAAACTGTAAATTATTTATTAAAATGTAAATGGGCAAATGCAAAATGTATACCCTTTTAAGTAACTGCTGAGGCAAAACTTGGCATTTAAGAGCATACTTAAGCTATCTGCTGAAAATCTACCTTCCCCTAATTGCCCTCGGCTGTTTTGTGTGACCAGAATATTTGAGTGCACGGAGAAGATTAAGAGCAGCAGAAAAAAATTAAATCACATGTTGGACTGTACAAGCTTGAGTGCAATCCAAGTTTTCCACTTTGGAGAGCAGATGTTCAAATGCCCCAGAGCTGGAGGGTGGAGACAAAAAAATGAGGTGTGAGAAAATATGACTCAGGAGGGAAAAGGCTTGGCTTCCTAGCCCCATCCTCCCCTCCCCCCCCAAGGGTTTTTTCCTCCACTAGCTGGCCAGGCCCAGCTGGCCATGCATGCATTTGCTCACCATGCATGCATTTGCTCAGCAGTGCAAGTCCCCTCCCGCCCCCCATCTTACACTATCTCATTCATGCCTATCTAGACTGGGTACACAACCATCCACACTAAGCGTGTGTATCTTTCTAGTATTAATGTATCTCAGGGGCTGAGAAAGAGCTTTACTAAGATGCCTTCTTGATTAGAATTCTTTTGGAGGTGCTAGAATCTCTGTGGTGGAGGAAGGTTGAAACTAGACAGGTCAGGGAAATCTGATAAATGCTCATTGTAGTTGTTTCTTTCTGATGCCCCCTGGTGGCCACAACTAAAATTAATTCCACATGAGCCTTGGGACTCTGACAAAACCCACTTTGCTAGAGTTCTTGGGATATATTCAGCTGGTGCCTATAGAGCCAAAGCCATGGAACCCACTCCATAGCAAACTTCTTTCCAGAATAAGAACTGATTTTAACAGCTTGGCCCTGTCATCCTAGCTACCCAGGAGGCTGAGGATGGTTGGTTGAAGCCAGCCTGCACAGGATTATCTGTAAGACTCTTCTTTCCACTAAACTACCAAAAAAGTTGGAAGTGGAGCTGTGGCTCAAGTGGTAGAGCACGAGTCTTGAGCAAAATATGATCAAGTACAGAACCCAAACCCTGAGTTCAAGCCCCAGGACTGGTAAAAAAAAACAAAACAAAAAAACCAAAAACTGATTTTAAGATAGAATTGTTATAATCCTATACTCGAATTTTTTATTTTGTGTGGGCGTATGATGGTTATGGTGGAATAAAACATTTATTTTAAATCATCTGTAAACATACTTTTATGTGCTGATACATTTCCTTACAGGAAGTTCTTAAACAGGAGGGCAGAGGTGATATCTATGTTAGGGATGTTAGGCCACTCCTACATTGTTCCAGTACTGGATATAAGAATTTGAAGCCAGGTATGAGTAGTTCATGCCTATGATACTAGCTTCTCAGGAGGTTGAGATCTGAGAATCGTGGTTCAAAGCCAGCCCGGGCAGAAAAGTCCATGAGACTCATCTCCAATTAACCACCAGAAAATCAGAAGTGGCACTATGGCTCAAGTGGTAGAGCCCTCACCTTGAAGCTGAAGAGCTCAGGGACAGTGCCCAGGCCCAGAGTTCAGGTTCCCCCGACTGACAAAAAAAAAAAAAAAAAAAAAGAATTTGATTACAGATACTTTACCTGTATTATGGGCTTTTTGGGGGGCTGGAGGAGGGATCAGTAATGAGGTTTTAAATTCAGGGCATCTCGACTTGCTAGGCAGTACTCTGCCACTTGAGTCACATTCCCAGTCTTGTTTTGCTTTAGTTATTTTTCAGATAGGTCCTGGTGTTTTGCTCTGGGTTGGCCTCCGAGTATAATACTCCTGTCTACACCTACCATGTACCTGAGATTGCACATTTGAACCACCATGACTAGCTTGATCTGTTGAGATGGGGGTTTACTTTTTGTCTGGTCTGTCCTTGAGCTATGATCCTCTCAGTCTTTGTCTTCTGAATAACTGGGATTACAGGAGTAAGCCACTGTACCTGACCTCTATGGATCTTATTCATCTTTTTTTTTTTTTTTTAGAAAGCAAAAAATGGAGAGAAAAGACCACAGGAAGATTGACTATGGAAGGCTTTCAGTCATAAATGAAAAGGACCTGAACCAAGATTTGACTCCTGGTGAGTGGTAGAGTTAAGGCTATGGGCGCTCAAGTCTTCAGGGTCCCTCTCTGGGATCTGCCACTCCCAAACAGCATTTCACTAGATGAGGGTGTGGTATGTTTTACTTTTTCAAAATGTAAAGAATAATGAACTAAATTTAAAAAGGACGTGGTTAAGTAGGATGAAGTGCCAATATCTGTAGCTGGAACCTCGAGTTCATGGTCTCAGTCATTAGGCATCCATCTATCCATCATTATCTATCCCAGCAAGACCACTGATCACCAGGTATGGTTACAGCCTTGTGAGGGTTGGTGCTGGCTTGTCTATACACATTTCCTAGAAGAAAAGGAAGTTAGAGCTGGGAAGACACCCAGAGGGCAGGAGTGCATGAAATTCAATGATGTCCATATTAAGATCTTTCCTCCAAAGCCAGTTGAAGCAGAAACATATCCCTGGCTGAAAGGCCTGCAGTGACATAGGGGAGGGCCAGGTACCTGCCTGTTCATGCAGCTCCTGAGCCTGAAACCATTGCTGGAGCCACCTTCCTCACTTCCTAAGTAGTTAGGACTACAGGCAGGTGCTGCTATACCTAGCTTCTTGTTATTATTAGTGCTGGTTGTGTTGGGATATTGAACCCAGGGACTACACATGCTGACAAGTACTTTGTCAGTGAACTTTTTACCCCCTACCTTTTTTGAAGCATAGTTTTTTTGGCTGTACTGACATTTGAATTTAGGGCTTCACATTTGCCAGTCAGATACTCTATACTTCATCCATTCTTTCAGCCACTTGTTGTTATAATAATACAATGTTTCAGTGTAAAACAAAATAAAACAGAAAGCCTCAGAACTTCCTAATATTCAGCCTTAGGGTGTTTTGCAAATTATACTAACAAATCTCTACCAATCTATTTATAGCTGACTGCATGTTGTAAGAGTTTTCCAATTCAGGGGGAGGATTTTTTCTTGCATATATAAAATGGCATCTGTTATGGTATATGGTAGTGAAAAAAAATCCATACAAACACCAGCTCTTCAGAGGCTTCCATTTTAAGAGTGAAAAGGATTCTGAAATCCAAAGTCTGAAGACTGTTGACATAATGAATATCATTTAATTCCTATCTATAACCCCTCCCAAAAGGTAGGAATCATTATCTGCATTTTATAGACCAGGAAATGAAGCTCAGAGACAGTAAGCAATTTACCAAGGTCAAAGAGCTAGCTGTTCATTATTTATTACTTCAGAAGTATCCTAAAACTTTTCTTATCTCACAGTTTCTGTGGGTCAGGAATTCTGGAGCAACTTAGCTAGGTGGTTCAGGCCAAGTCTTTCCTGGGGTTGCACTTACCAGGGCTGGATCATCTGATGGCTTGATCTGTTTCTAACATGGGTTGCTCACATGGCCATTGGCAGGAACCTTGGTTCCTTATCATGTAAGCTTCTCTGGTAGGCTGCTTGCCTGTCCCCATGATAGGCCAGCCAAAGCAAGTGAGCCCCAAAAGGAAGGAAGGAAGGAAGGGAGGGAGGGAGGGAGGGAGGGAGGGAGGGAAAGAGGGAGAGAAAGAGGGAGAGAAAGAAAGAAAGAAAAGAAAGAAAGGAAAGAAAGAAAGGAAAGAAAGAAAAGTAAAGGCCAAAATGGCATTTATGACCCAGTTTGGCATGTTTCACCTCATCAATCCTCCTTTGTTAGAAGCAATTCCACGCTGAAAGAAGAATTTTTTTCTTTGTTTCTGTGGATGGAACCTGTGGCATTGCCCCTGCTATGTAGGTATTCTACCATTAAAATATACCCCTTGCTCAGGCTCCTTTTTTTGTGATTTTTTTTTTTTGTTAATACTGGGGCTTGAACTCAGGGTCTAGATGCTGTCCCTTAGCTTTTTAACTCAAAGCTGGCACTCTACTACCTGAACCACAGTGTTTCATGAGTTGGGCACTAGTAATCCTAGCTGTAATTTTAGCTACTTAGAAGCTACTTGAGATCTGAGGATCATTGCTTGAAGCCAGCCAGGGCACCAAAGCCAGCCCGGGCACCAAAGGCTGGAAGTAGAACTGTGGCTCAAAGGACTGGAACACTAGCCTTGAACACAAAAACCTCAGGGATTGCACCCAGGCTCCTGAGTTCAAGCCCCAGGAACAGAACCATCACACACAAAAAAAAGTCTCATGAACTTTCCTGCCTGATCTAGCTTTGAACTGTAATCCTCAGATCTTAGCCTCCTGAGTAACTAGGATTATAGGCATGACCATCAGCGCCTGGCCTCACTTCTGGTTAATGAAGGTATGAGTCTCATGTACCCCCTTTGTATATCACCTTTACAATAACAATAAAAAATTAAATTAAAAAAAGAAGGATCAAATAAGTATGAATAAATACCCAAATAAATACAAACATTTCCTCTTAAAAAAAAAAGTCCCATAGATTTTTCTGCCCAAACTGTCTTCAAACCCCAGTCCTCAGATCTGACTAGTATTACAGGTAGAAGCCACTGGTGTCTGGCCTAGTCTTCATTTATTTAAAAAAGAAGTATCGCAGAATTCATGGACATATTTTCAACCATAACAACTAATAAGTGGAAAAGCCAGGGCTTAACCTTAGTCCTTCAAACTCATCCCATTTGTGACCCAGTGCTTTCTTGGAGATCTAGAGCCAACTGCCCAGCAAGTTCCAGACCTGCTCTAAGCACACATGCTGTTTGCTCCTAGCCTTTCAGGCTGGGCAATGTTATTTCTCAGATTCTTGTTGTTATTGGTCATGGGACTTAGACCCAGAGCCTGGATGCTGTCCTTGAGCTTCTTTTGCTCAAGGCACCACAGTGCCACTTCCAGTTTTTGAGTGGCTAATTGGAATTAAGAGTCTCACGGGGACTCTTCTGCTCAGGCTGACTTCTAACCATGATCCTCAGATCTTAGCGTCCTGAATAGTTAGGATTACAGGGCATGAGTCACCAGTGCCTGGAATTCCTCAGATTTTTTGTATGAGCTTATGAATGTCTTCATAGAAGAAAAGTATCTAGTTTCCTGGACAACAAATCATTGCTGTTGGTCTTAGCAGGATCTGAGATAAAGAATATGGAGGCTGTCAGGGAAGCTCTGGAAAAATAACTACAAATGGAAGAAGCTCTGATAATTCATTGGGCAAACTCCCATAGAACTACCCATTTATTTGCATCAATATGCACCAATATGTGCCAGGTACATATAGGAGCTGTTACTTAAATATCTCAGCTGTCAGAAGGGGATTCCAGATGGCAGCTAGACTAGAAATCTTACCTTGGTAACACAGTTGACACTCCAATGCTTAATGTACAAATTTGCATGTTGGAATGAGAGCTCTCCACACCATGGCTTATGACTCAACTCTAGAGATTCATACTTTCTTTGTATAACTTGGGCTTTTCAGGTTCCAATACAAGACTACCCAGCTTCTGTTCTGGTCCTGGCAGTAGACTGCAGAGTAGCAAATGTGAGGATGTTGGGACTAAGATTTTTAGCTCCCCAGGAGTCTGCAGTAAAGAATCACCAAAAAGTGAGACTGACTTGGGGGCTCCAGAAGGCGTAAGTAGGGAAGGCTGTAGTTCCAAGCCAATGAATTGTATTCTTAATCCTTTTTTCATATTTAGAATTTCATTATAGACACAACACCCCAGGACAAAATCATTTAAATCAGAATGGAAGAGGCACTTTTATCCAGTCCTGCTCTTTGGATCAAAGCAAAAATTCTTCACCTCGTAAGTACATCTGCATGATCAACACCAGTAAGTACATCTGCATGATCAACACCATCGAGAGACCGTGACATTTTCTATTGCTTCCCCTTGAGGCCCTGCCCTCTCTTGTCTGCTGCTTAGATTTCCTGAATTCACCTGATAACTTCCAAATCCAGCCCTGCACATGGATGGCAAGAGGCTGAGTGGAGACTGGGAAATAGGGAATGCCAGTGTAAAGCTGTGGAAGTTAAGTGTTATACCAGTGCAGTCAGTACCAAATCATAAGTACTTGCTAAACAACTGACTGATTGGATAATCACCATTATTACTGTTATTATGCTGAGTAGCCATGCTAAAGCCTCAAATATGTCTATTAAGAATCAGCCTGTAGCCTGGAACAAGTGGCTCATGCCTGTAATCCTACCTACTCAGGAAGCTGAGATCTGAGAATTCTGGTTCAAAGCCAGCCCCGGCAGGAAAGTCTGTGAGACTTGTTTTTTCTTGTCAGTCATGGGGCTTGAACTCTGGGCCTGGGCGCTATCCCTGAGCTCTTCAGCTCAAGGCTAGCTCTCTACCACTTGAGCCACAGCACTACTTCCAGTTTTCTGGCAGTTTATTGGAGATTAGAGTTTCATGGACTTTCCTGCCTGGGCTGGCTTTGAACCACGATCTTCAGATCTCAGCCTCCGAGTAACTAGGATTACAGGCATGAGCCACCAGTACCCAGCTGTGAGATTCTAATCTCCAATTAACCACCAGAAAACTGGAAGTGGCACTGTGGCTTAAGTGGTAGACTGCTTGCCTTGAGCTGAAGAGCTGAGGGACAGCACCCAGGCCGAGTTCAAACCTATGACCGACCAAAAAAAAAAGTCAGCCTGTAGCTGGGTGCTGATGGCTCATGTTTGAAATCCTAGCTACTTAGAAGGCTGAGAATGAAGGATTGCAATCTGAAGCCAGACCAGGGAGGGAAGTCCCTGAGACTCTCATCTCCAGTTGACTACTAGGAAGCTCTAAGTTGATCTGTGGCTCAAGTGGTAGAGGTGTTAGTCAACACACATCAACCTATATAAAAGTCAACTATTTTCATGTTCCTTAGACATCGTATCGTTAATTTCCAAAGCAAACTTGAGCTGTCCTTGGAAAAAAGTTAAAATCCTATATTTATTTATGAAGATGATTCAACTCCTTCCTCCTCAGGATTTGCTAATTGAAATTTACACCCTAAGTAGAGTTGGAGGCACAATGTAGTAAGTACTAAAGCAGATCCAAGTATGCTGTGGGAACATGGAGGAAGGACAGGAACACTGATTCTCCTAGGTAGCCATGGCTAGGCTACATACTTTATTCCTTTAGAACACTTTCTCTCTTTCTCTCTGGCATCAGGAATGATGTATGTACCTTGTCTTTTGCAATTGCCAATGACCAAGACTAAGGAATGCCACTTACTTTCTTGGCCTCAGGCATGTCTCTCCTACTTACCCCAGCTGCCAATCCTCCAGCCAGGTGTACTTTTCAGTGAGTCACTGGATCTGGAAGCTGCAGGGCAGATTTCATTACTATATTCTTGGTCTTTGGAGCTGTTCTTCCAATACACCTATGAGAATTGCAACCCAATCGCTAAGATGTCCTGAACTCCCCCAGTTAACACAATGGCTAAGAGTGCAGAGGTCACAGGGAAACAGCATTTCTTCAGTGCTGAAAAAGAACCTTCCAGCAATTGGAACTGACAGGAAATTGAGGAACCCCATCTGGAAGACAGTATATTTTTGTTTGATGTAAATGATCTGCAGACTGAACAGGAATGAAATCCCATGATTCTGTGCTCCTTTCTGAGTTTCCAAAGAAAGAAAACTGAGCTCATTAGTTTATCATGAATCTTGGCTAGGTAGTCAGGATATCTAAATCTGAACTTTCTGGCTTCCATTCTGCGGTCCATGCCTGAGAAACAGTCTGTTTCCTTTGTCCAATGAAACACCCTACATGGGGAGTGACCCCTGGTTACTAGCTACCAGTTAAGGCAGGAGACCTGGGTCTAGAGAAATGAGGAGGAAGAATTAAAAGGAAACGCAAAGGGCTCCTCAGTGACAGAGAAAAAACTTTTTTCTTTCTTTTGGCCATTGATTTGTCTCTTCCTTTCCCTAGCTTTCTTTTCCTGGCCTTTCCCACCATATTTTCATTCTGTTTAGTTTCTTTTCTGGAATTGTCTCAACACAAGTATTGGTACAAGTATCTGTAGATACTTGTAGAGTTCTTGCTACAAAAAATTGGAGAGAATATTAGAAATCTGCTTGGGTCCAACCTCTTAGAAGTCATTTTTTCCATTTATTTGATGCATTAGTTGAACCCACAGAAGTTAGGCAATATGCCAGGTCACAGTGGGCATGCAGAGAATCTAAATTCCTAGTTTCTTATCTGCTAATAAAACTCCTCTTAAAAGTTGAGTTTTGAGCCAGGCACCAGTGACCATGCTTATAATTGTAGTTTCTCAGGAGGCTGAGATCTGAGGATCCTGGTTTGAAGTCTGTGAGACTCTTATTTCCAATTAATCACCAAAAGCTGGAAGAGGCCCAAGTGGTTGTGTAAAATACTAACCTTGAGCATAAAAGCTCAGGGAGAGCACCTAAGTTCTGAGTTCAGAAAGCCCTAGGAATCACACACACACACACACACACACACACACACACACACACACACACACACACACACACACACACACACACACACACACACACACACACACACACACACACACACACACACACACACGTTGAATTTTGCTGGGTCCTAGTGGCTTATGCATGAAATCCAAGTTACTGAGGAGGATGGATTTGGAAGATCTCACTTCAACGCCAGTCTATGCAGAACAGTCTATGAGACTCCATCCCCAATTAACCAGAAAAGTGCAGGCCTGGAAATCATATTGTTATGAAATGTGGCTCAAATGGTAGAGTGCTTCCAGGCACTTGTGGCTCAAGACTGTAATTGTAGCTACTTAGGAGGATGAGATCTGAGGATTATGGTTTGAAGCCAACCCAGGCAGGAAAGGCCATGAGACTCTTATCTCCAATTAACCACCAGAAAACCACAAGTGGAGCTGTGGCTCAAAATGGTAGAGTACTAGCCTTGAGCACAAAAGCTTAAGAACAGCATGCAGGCCCTGAGTTCAAGCCCCAAGACCACCACCAACAACAAAAAAAACCCCAAAATGCTAGTTTTGAGCAAGAAAGCTGAGAGCATGAAGCCCCAAACTCAAGCCCCTCTATCAACAAAAACTGGCTTCCATTTAAAATAAAAAATTGAATGGTTTTTCCATAAATTTAATAATAAAAGTTGAGTTGTTTTCCATAAATTTAGAATACTTGACAAAATTCTTTGGTTTCTGTTTCCTAATTTTCTTTTTTCCTAATGTTCTTATTTACATATTTATTAAACATTTTAATGAAATATTTTATTCTTACTGAAAAGTCAAAATGACACATACCTACCATTTAGAGATGATTTTGACGCTCCAGAATTTAATCATAGCTGACATTTTTTCATCTTGTTCAGAACCAAAATGGATCTGTTCTCAGAGAGTGAATTCAAAATTCATTCAAGATGAATGTGAGTTCACACAAGGAAAGTAAGTATTTTATTACTACCAGTAAAAAAAAAAAAAATCTGCTATGACTGGTCAGGTACATACAATGTGATTACCTGTTTATTATAAATATGTAACCAAGATTTCTTGGTAATCACAAGATTATAAGTACTATGGCCAGGATTCACATAAAATCATTCACTTACTCATTCGACAAACATTTTTGCTGAATTCAGGACATTGTGCTGAGGATACAAGGACAAAGTCAACCACTGTCCATGAGGATTTTACTGTTTGAAAAAGGAGTTGAATTATCTTTTTGTCAGTTGTGAGGCTTGAACTCAGGGTGTGGGCACTGTCCCTGAGCTCTTTTGCTCAAAGCTAGTACTTTACCACTTTGAGCCACTGCACTACTTCTGGTTTTCTAGTGGTTAAGTGGAGATAAGAGTCTCACAGACTTTTGTGCCTGGGCTGGCTTTGAACTATGATCCTCAGATCCCAGTCTTCTGAGTAGCGATGATTACAGCGTGACACACCAGTGCCCAGCTGGATCATCTTTTAAATGCCAAGAAGGGCACCTAATTTAGGGATTCATGTAAGTTGAGCTCCAAAGGAAAGTACGAACAAATTAGCAGAGGGGAGTGAAGAAAGGAGCAAAGAACAGGACGATCTATGAGGCTCTCTGAGGTGGGAAAGCTCTTGGAAGTCCAGGAATAGTGTGGCATCTGGGCAAGATGAGGCTTACAGGGTAGTCTAGGGAATAGGCAAGGCCAGCTGTTCAGTTTGCCAGATTCAGGGAGGACTTCAGACTTGGGAACAAGGAACTTTTAAAATCAAGGTGTATGTATGTATGTATTAAAATATCACTCTAACTATTGGCAGAGCAGAATTGAGTGAGGATCCAAAGTTGAAGACCAATTGAATAACAGGTGGGATAAGGCCTTCATGTCTAAGGGTGGTAGAGACAGAAGTCTGTATTCAAGAGGTATTGAAGGTAAGAGGCAGTAGAGTAGCTAACTGAACTACTCCCTACCGCAGGACAGGGTAGTGATTTAAATTTAGTCTGTGGAGGCTCTGGGGTTTACATCTTAGCTCTGTCTTTGGAAAGGCATTCTACTCTCTACCTGTTTTCTCACGGGTAAATTGAGAATAAAAATTCATTGAATCAATATACATATAGCCCTGAGAATAATACCTGGATCATGAAAAGTACTCAGCTAGTGATGGCTGTTTATACTGTTGAAATGGTGGCTGATGGACTGTAGGGAGAGAGGACTCTGAAGCCCACTGCACCACACTGCCATCCCCTGCCGAAAGATTTAATCAGTGAGAGGCCCCTGATGCAGATGGACTCTCATTGGAGAGCCAACACATTACATGAACTACAGCGCAACTAATGTTACTGTGGAAGGGACATAAGGAGGATGGGAGGGTGAGGCCAGAGTATTTGAGGAATTTCTAGAGATGATATTGCTCACAGCAGATGCACCAAAGTATGCTTAGCAGGGGGATGACATGAGGGGCTCCATCACAGGCCCACTCGTGGTTGTGAAGTGTGACTCCTGACAGGGCCCATCACCCAGACTATGAATAATCACCTTAGAGCAATAGTGTATAACCTGAACATCGTGGTTGCCTGTACCTCATTTATACCGTGCAGACCTTAGAGGATAGCAGTCTGGACTGGTTATATGCTGTGGACATAAAATTACTGCTTTTATTTTTCTACTGGTCTCCCTGCTAGGTAAGATCACTGACACTAGAATGAAATTAACCCAAGGTGCTTGCAAGTAGTAGTTTTGTGTGTTTGTTTTATAACTAGTAGAACAGAAAGTTGGCTGCTAAAGAATAAAAAGTGAATTAAAAACTCTTTGGAGTTTTGCCTTCCTGTTCCAAAGGAAAAAGACCAATTCTGGGAGGATGTGTTCTCATTTTCTGGAGCTTAACTGTGGTTTCCAAGAGCTATGAAAGGCAGGGACATGGGAGTTCCTCTACCCCCACCCCCAGGTCTGTGCCAAACAGACATGTGGCACTTTATACAAGTATCAATGTGCTTTTGCCTTCCAGAAAAAATATGAAGACCTTTATGGCCTACAGCTCAGATTTTGTACCACCCTCCACTCATCTCCATTCCTGCAGAGCTTCTAGAAACAAAGCCTTATGTGACATTAATAATAATGACGAAACAAACTCTAAGGTGAGGACTTAGAAAAAAAACACCCCTAGAATCCTTGTAGTTCAAAAGTTTAGTCCTAAGAGCAAATAGGGTTTTAGAAAACTCTGCTAAGTGTGCAGCACTAACCCAAAACACATGGTCTTGGCAGCCACATGGTTTGTATTATTCCTAAACTGGTTCCAAGGGAAATTTCTGGGAGAAAGTATTTTGTGGGTGGTACCCTGGCTACAGGATTCCCCTGGCCTGGGTGTGAGGCCTGGAGTCTGTTCTACTGGCATTGTGGTTAGGGCTGCCAGCTGGTTCCTATTTCCAAACCAGTAACAGTAATCCCCAGGTTACTTTCAAGTATTTCCATACCCACACATGCGCTGTATCCTTTGGTGCCCTCTCAGTTGTTATGGCTTCCAAGTCCCTTTGAAGCTCCCTAAGAACTTCTTTTTTTCTTTCTCTGCAGCAGGGAAACAGCCCAGCAGGTTGATGACCTCACCCTCTGATTCATGAGCATCAGTCGTGTGTTGATCTTTTCTCCTTTCCCCTGACAAATATGTTCCATCTTAGACTGGTTTCCTAGGAAACAAACACTTTGAAAAACAGAAATAAACTGTGTGGAAAACAGAATGCTCCAAAAATTCCCTCTTGCAATGTTTAACAATGAGAGAACCCAATTATCAGAAATAATAGTAAGTTTATATAACTAAAATATGTGGACTTTTCTTCTGTAGATGTCAAACTCGGCTTTGGATAATGCCCTAAAGACAGCCACCAATTTGAAAAAAACTACTGATCAAATGATTAAAGATATTGCAGAAGATCTTGCCAAAGCACAGACATGGAGGAATCGACTGAAATTCTAGCTCAAGATAGTCAAAAGGACAAAACCCCAAAAAAGCAGCAACGAAAATTTGATCTCTTCCCAAAGTATTTGACTTATTACTTATAAAGATTTTTCTAAAAAAAAAAAAGTCTCACAAAACTCAAAATGGGTAACAAAATACTTATAAAAAAGGGTCTGATTCTTAAAATTAAAAGCAACTACATATTTATATTAAAATAAATCTATGTTCTGCCCTAATTCATGGCATCCAAGTGCCCTTCAAAGCTCTCAAGAGCTTTTCCTTCTTTTTTTTTCTTCTTAAGACCTTCTCTTCTTTTAATTTTCTGCAGCAGGGAAACAGTTCATAATAAAGTAAAATAAACAAGTATCATTTAAAGTTTAAAAATTAAAGTTTGAAAAAACTGTCAGTGAAGAAGTACTACTGTTTCACAATACCCTGCTGGTGGAAGTATAAATCAGTGAAACCGTTTTGGAAGATAATTTGATTAATATGTATGCTTTGCAAGTTACTGATCAGTACATACTGATAAACCCAGAGTAACCTGAAAATAACTCAAATGAAGACATCTAACCTACTGAACATTATTGCTTGGCAACACACACACACAGACACACACACACATACAGACACACACAGACACAGAAACTATAGAATATCTGTTTTTCGTGATTGTGTAGCTGAATGGGTACTGCCACTGGCTGTCACTATTCAGCCACCATCTGGAGAGTATATTGTTCTGCATTTCACTAATGCAGGAAAACATCAAAAGTTAAATACAAAATAGACTCTACTGAATGCATAATGATTTAAAAAGTCTAGCCACTGCCAAGTAAGGGACTACGTTGCCAAATTCTACAAATTCCAAAAGCACTCATCTTCTGGCCTGCAATGCCACTGCTAAGAATTTACAGACAATTCACACAATATGGCAACAATGGATCAGTGACAGAAGCATCTACAAAGGGAACTAATCTTAAATACTCTGGAAATGTTTACCAAACAAGTTACAACACTAGCCATGGAAAGCATGAGATGAATATCTGTGGCAGTGAAAAAAAAACCCCAAGATGCCCGACAATATATCCAGCATGATCTAGTTTGTGCTTGCTTTTATAGGCTTACATATCTCCAGGAAGACATACAACCGTTGTAAGCAGCCTCTTAGAAATGAAATGGTGTCCTGGGAGAGGAGGAATTTTTACTTTTGTTTATTGAACAGTGTCAATTTCCTATCATATGCTTATAACATTATTTGTTTAAAGATCTGTTGGCCAAGAATACACAAATACAACAGTTGTAGATTAATGAAATCTTAGAAAAAGGTAATTGCTGGAAACTGCATACCAGAGATTAAGTTCTAACATTACCCGTAGAATGCAAGAGCAAGTTCTTGATTTGCCTTTTTAGAGGCAGATCATAGATTTTTTTTCCCCCTCTTGAGGCCTTCTAACTCCGCATACTCCAAACATTCAAAAAGGTTTCTCAACCCCCAGAATTTGGCTCAGCCTTGAGGAGGGAGTCAAATGTATTTCCATTTAAGACTTTCCTGCCAACAAAGACACCTGCTGTTTGTCTAGCTGGCTGGAGAATGGGCTATATTTAACTTTGGAGCTTTGAAAGAGGTTTAGGACACCTTGGAAGAGATCATGCAGATGGCAGCATGAAGGTAACTCTGACTTTGTGGCTGAATTTGCTTTAGATTGTGGCACTGAAGGAAGCCAGAAAAGACATGATAGGATTCTAAGAGAGAAAAGGATCTCAAATTGTGTGTTCTGTTGAATGTAATTTTGTACTAAGCTCTGGCACTAGACTCCCAACAGACAAATACCAGAATAGAACACCTCATGCCAAGTGCTATGTGGTTTAAATGACCTGTCTCTCCTAGCCCAACCCAGAAGATTCAGTACACAGAAGAGGCCTGTCAACCTAAGGCAGTCCCTTCTGCTTTAACCTTTGTAAAGAAAGTAACTTTGAAATGACTTAAAGGTTTTTTTGTTTGTTTTGTCTTGGTGCTAGCCCTGGGGCTTGAACTCAGAGCCTGGGCACTGTCCCTGAGCTTTTTTGCACTCTACTACTTGTTCCACAGCTTCACTTCTGACCTTTTTGGTCCTAAATTGGAGATACAAGTCTCATGAAGATAAAGAGTCTAACAAGAGCTTTTTTTTTTCTTTTTTAGCAGTACTGGGATTGGAGCAAATGTTCTACTGCTTTTTGTATGTGTTTGTGTGTGTGTGTGTATGCTAGTTCTAAGAGGCTTCTAGTTTTTTGCGATGCCAAATGTTGCTATCCTACCTCCAAGTGTAAAATTATAGTTCTCTAGTTTGGTTGAAATGTTCTCTATCAATTCTTCTTGGGGATTCATTTCTCCTTGAGAACCTAATGAATGCTCCCTTCCCTTATGCTCTACCCTCCCCAAGAAAAGGGATATATAAACAGAATTTTAGAAGTTCATTAATACCCTGAAACAAGTACATAAAATCTTGGTTCCATGGAAATAATGGAATTAACAAACATTACCAATCTTCCAACCTTTGGAGAAGCTTTTTTTTTTTTTTGAGAAGCTTTTAAGTAACCATTTTTTTTCTAATTTAAAAATATGGCCCACCTCTAAACCATATTTCCTTGATGATTGGGTATCATTATATACAATCACTGCAACAGGGCTAATCTGAAAAATAAATTGGGCAATGCCCCTGAAGAATTCTGGAAAAGTTCCAGGCACTGATTTACAAGGATAACTGTATACTTATCATGTCATCTGGGATGTCTCCCATGTCTCTGTCAATTCATCTATTTCTTCTAATTCTATTCTAGTAGTAAACTAGAAAAACTATTTAGGCAGTAATATAGAATTTCTAGAGCTGTCAGTAAAGAGGCTCACACTGACTGAGGGCATGGTGGTAGATGACCAGCTTCACATTGAGGAGGACCGTAAGTAGCTATGCTCAAATTGCAGCAGGATCAGTGACTATTGGAAGGTTTCTATTTCTAAAGACAAAGATGTAGTCATTCATTTTAGGTCAACTATTATGATTATGCAAAAGAAAAAGAAGTGACCTTTTTATTATTCCTTTTTTTTTTTTTTTCAGTCATGGGGCTTGAACTCTGGGCCTGGGTGCTGTCCCTCAGCTCTTCAACTCAAGGCAAACACTCTACCACTTGAGCCACTGCACCACTTCCAGTTTTCTGGTAGTTAATTGGATGGAGGTAAATGTCTCATGGTCTTTCCTGCCCAAGCTGGCTTTCAACCCCAATCCTCAGATCTCAGCTTCCTCAGTAGCTAGGATTACAAGCATGAGCCACTGGCATCTGGCTATTATTCCTTTCTATTGTAATTTTTTTTCCCCTTCCCTTCAAGTAGGGTTGAACTCAGGGCCTCACACTTACTAGCTTGAGACTCAACCATTTGAGCCATTTCTCTAGCTGGGCTTTTTGCTGGTTATTTTGGAGATGGAGTCTAGTAAATTTTTCTTCCTGGGCTAGCCTTGAACCTTGTGATCATCCAGATGTTAGCCTCCTCAGTAGCTATGATTATAGGCATATGATTATTGTAATCTTGTTAATGAATTTAAGAGGATCCAATTCTTAATAAATATGAACTTGTACTTATTTATGTTTAATACGCCACACAATTGTTTTGGTAGTAATTTTCCTATGAGAAAGACATATCTTGTTCCTTTAATTTAGAAGAAATCTGTTTGCATCGTGATAGGACTCACAAAATGTACAAGATCCTAGAGTAGGGGCTGGGAAGGTGGCTCAGTGGTAGAGCGCTTGCCTTGCATGCCTGAGGCCCTGGGTTCGATTCCCCAGCACCACATAAGCAAAAAAGAAAAAAGCCGGAAGTGGTGCTGTGGCTCAAGTGGTAGAGTGCTAGCCTTGAGGTGAAGAGCTGAGGGACAGCGCCCAGGCCCAGAGTTCAGGCCCCATGACCGGACCCAAAGAAAATAAATAAATAAATAATAAATAAACCTAAAAAAAAAAAAAAAAGATCCTAGAGTAGAACTAAGTTAGAGATATTGCATCTTACAGAATAAATTATCATAAGCCATGTCCTTTGGGGTGCATTGGCCCCACACACACAAAAAAAATATATTGGAGGCACAAGTTAATGGGAGAAAGCTCCAGCCTAGTAAGCTAGAGATCAAGTTTTAACACAAAAATGGCAATTTTTCCTAAATTAACCTATAAATTTAAGGAAAATATCAACTATTTTTGAGAATGCAACAAAATGATACTAACGTTTATCTAGAAAAGTCTAAGAGCTAGAAAATTTCTGAAAGTATGAGTAATTTGGTTGTGAGTTAAGATTACTTCTACCACCCTGGGTGCTTGTGGCTCACAGCTGTGATCCTAGCTACTCAGGAGGCTGAGATCTGAGGATTGCAGTTCAAAACCAGCCCAGGCAGGAAAGTCTGTGAGACTCTTATCTCCAATTAACCACCAGAAAACTGGAAGTGGCACTGTGGCTCAAGTGGTAGAGTGCTAGCCTTGAGCTGAAGAGCTGAGGGATGGCACCCAGGCCCAGAGTTCAGGCCCCACGACCCACAAAAAAAAATAAATAAAATAAAATTTAAAAAACATCCTGAATCAAAACAGGAAAAAAGAAACACATAGTCAATAAAAGGATCCAGAAATACTCCTACAAAATTCAAATGCAGATTTGGTTTATGGTACTTGATGCACAGGATTTATCTAATAAAACATAGTAGTCTCCAGTTGTTCAAAAAGTTGTAAAACTGGATCATTGTTAAATTCTGCATTAGTTAGGGCTCTGTGAAGAAAACAAACTCCTTGAGATATTTAAATAGAAAGGGATTTAAGAGAGAATTAGGACCATACAAAATTAATTTAAAAAGCAAGAGGTGCAGAAACGACACACAAGGCCATCGTCACCATCTGTGACGCAGAAGACGAAGTTTAAGTGCTTTTGTGGCCACAGCATTGTTTCACAGCCAAGAAAAAGATGAGAGACATTAAAACCTGGAGTGTGGGTGCTCCAAACAACTCCTTCCTGTCTGCACTGGCAAAGCC